TCCATGATTAGTATCTTAGTGGGGTAGGATCGATCTTTGATTCCTTTAATGCTATCTCAGGCTTCCGTACTTTGAACTCCATTTCCGACTGATGACAATTTCTCTTTATTCTTTAAAGGCGAGCGAGTCCTTTTGGTGCAAGATTAACGAGGGCCAAATATATACATACGATACGTAAAGTTTGCATGAATATTACTGTTTTAATCTGTGACAGTACATTTAAGCTCATTGCCAGTACATGAAAAATAGGAACCAAACGGAGCCATGGACAAAGTTGCCAGATAGTAGTGCATGATATATGGTTCGGTAATGCTAACGGCGCAATATTCAAATCCCGTGCTTTGGGTTTTGAAAGGTGAACTTGATTTATTAAAAGATTTATAGTTCTACAGTCATCAGTACAATATCATTTGCAGAATTTGTAATACTCCATGGGCATGGGAGGTGCATTACAGTACACAGTACCGCGCGCATCGTGTTGACTAGCTCCCTCTCGATGCTATCAGAAGAACATGTTAACCGTGTGGTTGGTGGTCGTAACAGGTCTTGCATGAGAAGAAGAGAAACCAATGTAGCCAAGGACAGACTTGCCGGAAAAATATTGTCTACGCCGGCAAGTCATCCTTGGCTGCACTAAATTCTCTACCTCTCCAAGCAAGCAACTTTCGACATATACCTTTGTCAGTCGGATATGCTCCAATATTAACGCAATTTTGCTGGCGAACTTGCGCCATTATGTAGGTCTTACATGAGAAGAAGACAGCGCACCGTAGCCAAGGACAACTAGCCGGAATAATCTAAGGCAGAGAAACAAGGGAAATGCATGCCTCCTAGGGATTAACCGGCAAGTCATCCTTGGCTGCACCACACTGTCTACCTCTTCATGCAAGCCCCCAACGGCCACTTCTACTTGGTTTGCTATGCAAAGCATTCTAGCTGTGAGCTCTATATATAGATAGACAAAAAAGATTTGGACGAAAATCAGTGATGCATGTTGCTGATATTCGTAGGCCTAGCTAGCTAGCTAGCCTGAACAAAATCGAACAGTGGGGGCATCGCCTAAAGATTCCAAAAGTAGGCCAGTGACCGAAATGCCAGCCAAAGGCCAGTGTGCCAAAGAAGGAGCACCTATAAAACAATGGCCCAGATTAATTCCCCATATAAATGATATAACTCCGTCCAAGACCCTACTCAATTGGGTTAGCAGATGAGGTCCCAACTCAGGATTTCGTGGACCCACTTGGCTTTGGGAAAAGTCAGAGAGGTATAAATGGAAATGATGGCAATTGGTTTTTTGTTGAACGGAATCTTTGATGGACGTGGCTTTCAGGACTCAAGACAGCATCACCGGGCCATTGCACCCACCCAGCTTCTTGAATTTTCTTTTGGGACCGTTGTCAACTTGTGGCATAAGCATCAGCTCTGCCTCCCAAAGTAAATAATGAATCATGCTTGAAAGCTTTATGTCAAATATGGTTATTAATTGGGTTAGCAAAGATTAAATCATTAGGTAATTTGACATCAGTAAAAGAATGTGGCTGGCAGAGATCAGAGAAAGATGAGCTGTACCTGTCATGGGCAAAAACACAAGGAAAGGAAAAAAAGTGCAAGGCTTTTGACATTTTGTGGAGGCATATCCCGATAGGCTAATGTCATTTTGTCACTCTTTCTCGAAGCATGTATATATAAATATATATATATATGTATACTTTTTTTTTTATGGTTTTTCATGCTTTTTACGCCTCAATAAAGAAAAATAATTAAAAGAAATAGTATTAGCATTTGATGCCATTTTTTTTTTTTTTTTGCAGACCGCCGCTTCCCCACTCTAGGTTAAAGTTGTTCCAATCCAAGTGGGGACAATATGCCATTCAAATGTCACGTGGGTTTTCTCTATTTTCTTTTTTAATTTTGGATAGAGAAAAGCAACATGTGCTCATCATATCCCTTAATCCCCATCAACACAAGACGAGCAAATGTATGGCACAGAGAACAATCATTGCTGTACACGTCATTACTTCCATTATATTATTTATAAAATAATTATTTTATGTGAAGATTAATATTGGGCCTGTTTTTCCAAAGAAAGATAGCGTTGGGCCTTGCCCTTGGGCTTGCCATATCCTCTCAATTACCAAACTCCTAAGCCCAATAGGTCTGGGGCACGTGGAACAGATTTGCTGCCACTTTCACACGTATGAAAGTAAGGAATATATAAAGGTTAAGCATATTTTTCAATTCTTCGTATCTTTTATTTATTAATTTTGATTTGAGGGGAACACGATTCGAACAAATTTTTTAAACACGGAATAGATATACTTTTCATTCAACATTTATGTATTCCTTATTTAATTGTTTCAAACTTCTATCTAATTTGTAAAAACTTTGAAGTTCAATAGTGCTATCACTAATATAATAATAATTTACATAATTTAATATAAATTAATAGCATTTTAATTACATTTTTTTGTTGGGAAAAGTGCGATAAAACCATGAAATATACAAGCATATAATAGTATTTATTTATTTTAACCTTTTGTAACTCTCGAAATAAATTAAAAAATTTGGCTCTTTAACTTGTTTTTTTTATCGGAAGACATATTTTGAAGATATGCGACGCAAGAGTAGCAAGTTCTACTATGATCATTTTGATCAATTTTAATTCTGATATCAGGTATTGACAAATGTAGATATATAAAATTATGTATTTAAGTTTTTAATTTAAAAATAAATACAAAACATGTATTTCTTAATTAGAATCATTTATAGCATAAGTACTAGATTAATGAAACAAGAAAGAAATGTTCAAGTCAATGTTGTTTGACTTGTTGTGATGCAAATTTCTCCCTGAACCTGATCTAGAGAGACAAGGCCCGTCTTAACCCAGTTAATCACGTTTGAACGCGTGTCACATTTGAAACAGACTTGGTCAATCTCTCACACTTGGGCGTGGCCGTTATTAAAATGCGAGCGGCTGCGCGAAGGCGGCGTCCGAGGTGCAAGGTCCGATTACAACGCGAAAGGTGTGAAGGCAGATTCTCATGCCAAACCGACGTTGTTGATGCTTGGTTGCTTCGCTGAGCCTGAAGAACATTGCATCTCAAACAAGAATTTGACATTGAGATGATAGATACTTGCATTCCTTAGGAAAGAAAAATAAAATGTAAAGATATAGGAGTAGAATCGAATGAGCAGAAGCTATGGGGTGGGGAAGTATTTACAGAAGACGTTTGAAAGTTTTCTCGGTTGCTATATTAATCCACCTGGATTATAAGGTGAAATTCCTCGATTTTAACTTCTGTTTGTGAATCAATGCTAGGAGAATCTTATGCATACTTGCGTTCAGACTGTGCAGCACAGAGAGAAATGGAATAACGAATCAAAAAGAGCTGCTTTATGGGAAAAGGCTCATAAGCGAAATGCTAAGCGTGTTGTCGGTTTTACGATAGAGATGAAAGGCTTATCAGTGAAACTTGGGCAATTCTTATCCACACATGCTGAAGTGTTTCCTAAAGCCTATGTATCCCTTCTCAAGCAATTACAAGTCTATCTTTCTCCTCGTCCTTTCAAAGAGGTGATGCTCTTTATTTTGACGTTTGGAGATCAATTTCTAACCCATTATTATCACTTTGACTATGAACAAGAAAAACAGGACTTATAATTAGTGGTTTAGCCGTTCTGCATTTATGGCTGCTTAATGTAGTTGGCAATCATCTCAGTTATCTTTTCATGCACTTATATTATTGTTGCATCATATAATTTTGAGGTTAACATTGTCATATGATCCTACCACATCGTTTATGTATCTTAGGACACTATACCATGGTCTGCCACCCAAGTTATGGAAGCTGTCCTGCTTAATTGGATTTCAGTTACCATGTGCAGTGAAAAGACTGGATGTTCTTGTCATGTCATTTGCAGATTACATATATGCCATAATGAGTGGATACATAAACAGGTTTCCAAGTGCTTTTACTTGAACATAATAACCTTGAGAATGATTTGTACTTGGTATAGATTAACTAGTATTTGGAAACTTATTACCTTGATAAAAGTTGGGTATCGGGATGGCTGCATTGCAATATGCTCAACTCAATGATGCTTTATTCTCAAACTAGATGGATTCATCTACGTTCCTCCATTTCCTTCCTTTTGTTTGACTGATGGCCATATCTTGTAAAATATATAAAGGATTCACAATACTGTGTCGTTGGTAAAATTTGTTTAGAATTTTTTATTCACACCAGCATTTTGAATGCATAAAGACCATTAACCAGTTTTGGTTTGGAAAAGGACAAAGACTGACATAATTCCTGCCGACCACTACATTAGGTAGAGATAGAGAAAAATTGATTGCATGCTACAATTAGATGGCTAGAATTCCATGAAAAGCCAATATTAGAGGTAACTCGGTGCATTAGCTGGTCTCCAAAGGCTTCAGTAAGTGAGCAGTAATAGGTTCCAAATCAGATGATGATAAAGCAGTTGGGTAGTTTGGTACATAAAGAGTAATGAAATTGAAACTTGTTTGTGTGTAAATTTCAATTGATTCTATACGTATCTAATTCTCCAAGGAAAAATTTTAAGATGATTATTTTTGTCTGTGTTCCCATCACATATCTAACTGCCTTATGCAGTTATGAATGACGCTGATTTTTATCTGCACAAGTACGTCAGACTATACAAAAAGAGTTTGGCAAGACCATGGATGATCTCTTTCCATATTTCACGAAAGAACCTTTGGCAACAGCGTTAATAAGGACCATAGATGTGTAGCTTTATTCTCCTGAGGCAAATTAAAAGTAATTCCTTGGAAAATCTTGTTGATGAATGAGGACATCTTTGATTCTATGCAGATTGCACAAGTACGTCAAGCAAAATTAGTTGATGGGCAGGAGGTGGTGGTTAAAGTTCAGCATAAAGGCATCAAAGCAATCATATCGGAGGTTTTGCATACTTTGGCTTTTAAGATGTTAGGATGAAAAGTAAGAATTATAGTCATTATATGGTTGTTGGACATGCTGTTATCTTATAGGACTTAAAGAATGCCAAGTGGATTGTTGACTGGATAGCTTGGGCAGAACCAGAATGTGACTTTAATCCAATGATGGATGAATGGTGCAAAGAAACTCCAAACGAGCTTGATTTCAATCATGAAGCTGGTGTGCCTATTTTAACATGATTTATTCTAATTTCAATTATTTACCCCCACTTTCTTCTTTTTTTTCATATTTCTTATGGACACTTGCCTATGTAGAGAATACTAGAACTGTATCTCGAAATCATGGCTGCAAAAAGTTATGTGATGAGAACAATTCTTCAAACCAAGTCAATGTCTTGATTATAGAAGTTATTCAGGTATATCCTGAGCTAATTTCTAAACGTGAATGTTTATATGCTACAATGCATGTGATCAAAATAGGGTACCATGTTAGGATTTTTGCCATCTGATCAGCATCCAGATGTTGTTCGTCTGGTATCATGATTCATCATGTAAATTAAAGAGGGTAGCAATGAAGCGTGAGAGATATTCACATGTTTCAGTTCAGATGGCTCGGTCTGATTCCTATTGGTTTTAATGACAGTCAACTGAAACTGTCTTCATTTTAGAGTACATGGATAGAATTCGTTTGAATGACTCCGCATCTTTGGAAGCTTTTGGTGTTAACAACAGAAGATTGTTTAAGAAATCACTCGTGCATATGCCCACCAAATATACGTTGATGGACTTTTCAATGGTGATCCTCATCCTGGTATCACCTCCTCTCTCTTGCCGACTCTATATTGAAGGATAATTTTAATGGCTATCCCCATCCTAGTACTATGATCTGTGATCTTTCTATCTACCTATGCGTCTGTGTAACTATCAATCTCTCCATCCACCTATCTTCTGTTCGGTAGTTTAATTTCTTTGTTCAAATAATTCTTGCCAGGTGTATTTTTGATCTACTTGATGCTACTTCCTAATGAGTTTTTGCCCTTTTATAAGTTTTCTTGTTAATATATTTGCAGGAAATTTCCTTGTAAGCAAGGAAGCCCCTCATCGCCCAATTTTACTTGATTTCGCGCTTACTAAGAAACTATCGAGCTTTGTGAAGCAAGCACTAGCAAAAATGTATTTGCATCATCCGAGGTTTGTGTTATCAAAATTAGTTCTTCTGAGTCTTCACCTTCATTTACGTTAATATACATATGTGAGATATGATTGACCTTTCTTTTTTGACATTTTTAATAATGTAGTTTCAATAATTCAAATATTTCTATTTGTCACCTTTTTCACACCAAGAGTTCTTTAATTCACTGTAATTGGACTATGAAATAATACGTCACTCTTTGTGGCAAGGTGATCATGTGGCTCTTTTGTCTACCTTTTCAGAAATGGGCCTCAAGCTACGCCTTGATCTACCCGAGGAGGCTATGATGGTAACAACTGCATTCTTCCGTGGTTCAACACCAGCCAATAAAGCTCATGTAATTGTCGACCGCTTGCCTATCAAGTGGTGTTTCAACTTCTACGAGTCCGTCTAATGCTAGTTGTTTTTCTATGCAGCAAACCAGGAAATCTTTGGCTGAGCAAAGTAACAGAAATAAGAAGGTTGTACAGGAAAAGAAGAAACCCAAACAAAAAGAAGTCCAATACCTCAACCCAGTAAGTTTATGTCTGCTTTTTCTTTTGGTACATAACCCTGTAAGTCCATTTCATCTACCACTGTTATCCCTTTAGTATTTTCATTCACTACATAACCCATCATTAACTAGGTAATACAATTTGTTTTCAGGTTAATGCATTTTCGGGTGATATTGTACTCTTTACACGGGTTCAAATGCTTCTGAGAGGTCTGTAATAGAATCTCCTATCTTCAACTTGTTGTCTTAAAAGATTGTGCCTCTTGCTAATTCATCATTTATGTTACATGGATTCAGCTCTCTCATCCACTATGAGTGTCACATAGTATATCTAGACATCATGAGACCATTTGCTGAGTCTGCTCTTCTAGGGTGAGTATATTTTATATTTTAAAGCGTCAAGTTTATGAATTTTTTATCCTCGCTTCACCTTTGATTGAGTTGTGATTTCATTTTTAGAAACATTAATAATGGACCAACTAGAAATCCAAAGTGGATCTTACAGAAGAAAACCCTTTGCTAATGTTTGAGTGGGATGAATGCTTGAACCTGATTGCGGCATCAGCACCTGAGACTGAACCTGGGAAGCAACAGTTGTATCATTATTTATCTTTCGGCTGGTTGTGTGGTGGAATAATTGAGGTATTTTCTCATGCTTTCAAGTGTATGAAGTATTTTCCTTTCCTTTTACTTATTTTAAATTCAATTATAATTCTTAGTTGGGGAAAAAAATTGAAGATGGTTTAAATACTTTAATGTTGTTGGGCATAGCTATTGGAGTTGGTTTTCACAAGAGTGAACATTTGTCTTGTTTTCTACATTGTCACTCGTTCTTATCATGATCAGATTCTTCTTACTAACATCCTAACTAAGTTGAAACTTTAGGAACTTAGTCGAACAAACTAACACACATTACCCTGGTTTTAATATTTGCTTGGGTGATGCAGTATGCATCTAAGAAGAAATTTCAGGAAATACTTGAAGAGGCATTCATTCATCCTCTAAAAATTGAAGGTGACCTTTATCTTGGAATTCCTCCTGGTACTTCAAACTCATGACTTTTTCTTCTTGCTTCATTAAGTAGTCATTACTTAGAGGCCCTAGTCATCTTCACTCAAACTAGTATTAATGCCGTTAAAGAGTCCTCTCCAGGTGTGGAATCTCGACTTGCTTCACTTACGCTAGATACAGATGATCTCAACAAGCTCTTAGAAACGCACAATCGACCTGAGATGACATCCTCCTTCCAACTCAACAACATTGCTCAATTTGCAACTTCCTTGTCTGCTTTATTTAATATGCTTAACCTCCACCGTGCTATCATACCTGCTGCTAATGGACATTGCTCAGCCCTTTCACTTGCACGCTACCATGCAGCCTTAGCTGATGGTGGTGTGGTCCCGCCGCCACATTCCTCTCTTTCAAATCCACCGCTTGGCAGCCATCCCCAAATCCACAATTTTCTTTCCATGAAGAGCCATAAAAAGCAAAAAGGTTAGGGGACCAACGTAGTAGATGCTGCGCCGAAGGATAAAATGAATGGTTGTGGACAAAACAGGTACTGCAATAAAGATTTCAAGGACAGTGGTGACAGTTGCACTAGGTTTGACAATGAGGGTAGCAATGGTAACAGTAGCAACAGTACAAGTGATGACTGCAATGCAAGCAGGGATGGTCCTCAAGACGAAAACAACTAGATTTTCTTTAACACTAGGATTCATGGTACATTCAGGGGTGTAGGTGAATATGGAGATTCGGCTTTGCCAGGCCCAGGTGGGATATTTGGACTAGGATTTACGAGGTTGAAATCAAAGGATGGGTCTTGCACAGGCTTTCGACACTCTGGTATGGGTGGATCAATAGGTTTTTGTGATATTAAAAACCGGTTTGCTATTGCAGTGACCCTTAACAAAATATCATTTGGAGGAGTGACTGCAAAGATTATTGAGCTTGTTTGTTCAAAGCTAAATATCCCACTACCGGAGGAGTTTTCAGAATCTAGTGACGTTTATAGACCTCTGATTAATCAAGGAGGTTATTCATTTGATGGAATACCATATATGCCCAAACCTTTTGCTCGTTCAATATTACTCCTATGGTATTCTCTCTTTGTTTATTGTTTTACAAGAACATGGTTATGGACAGTTGACAGGCTGTGGTGATAGCATTGGGCTTATATTACTAAAAGAAAGATAACATTGGGCTTTTCAAAGGTTTCTCATTGGGCCTTATGTTTGTCCTAATACCAAAGGCCGGCGCCCGTGGAAATAAGGAATATATATTAAGGATGACCATAATTTTTGATTTTTTATATTCTTTATTTATTAAGTTGGATTCATTAAAGAGATGACTTAATTCTTTAAATGCAGATATATCTACTTATCACTAACAGTTATGTATCCTTTATAGTTAATTAAAGAAGGGGTAAGGAATGCCTAATTTATGGGCAATACAATTTCTAGATAGGAGAAATGTAGTTTTTTTTTTTAATTTTAAAAAAGAGAGTTTGAATTTTACTTTTTAAGTTAGAAGATTATGTATTAATTAATAAATTAAATGTTCAAATGCAAGAGAAGTGTAGCTTAGAGGTTGTTTTATTTTTTGAAAAAAACAATAATTTTAATTTTATATCACTGAGTTGGTAAATGTAAAGGTATAAAATTACGTATTAAAATTTTTAATTTAATTATAAATGTATATACTTGAAAAGATTTAAAAATTAATTTTAATAAAAAGAAAAAAATAAATAATTAAATTTTTATACAATAAAGAAATTTTTGTAATGATTGTCTGTTTGGTTTGATTTTTTTTTAATTTACCTATCAAGTAAGACTAAATAAAATTTCAAAAAGAGTTTTAAGAAAAATAATTTTTTTAAAAAATAAAATTAAAAATACTTAAAGAAAAAGCTACAAAAAGGAGTTTTTATTTTTTTAAATAGCTTTTTAGAAAACACTCTTGTCTCAATGGATATCTCTTCCCTTACTCGGCAATAGAATAAAAGAATATCAAAAATTTAAAACTATATTAAGATATTACTTAAAAGTTTATCTTTTCTTCATAAAAAAGAATTTTAATATCAAATATATTATTTTTTATTTTTTCTTTCATTTTCGAGGAATTGAAGCATCACCGTCTTATTGTTAGTTATATTAACAAAAATTTTAATAATATTATTATTATTTTACAAAATTTGTGAGTTATTAATTTTTTTATATTTAAAATAATTTAAAATAAATTAATTATATTTTAATTTATTAAGTGATTGAAAATAATATGAATAAATTTTATAATAATTTTAATCAAAATTAAAATTTATATAATTTATTTTATTAAACAGTTCATCACATAGCTTTAATTTATTTTTAAATTATTATTTTTTGTATTTCTTAATTCTATAAAAACTTTTATAATGTTCTTAGGTGGAAGTATCCAGGAAGTTCATGGGTTGGAACACAAAGCCCAAGGTTGGCATCAAAGTCTAGTCCGTTCAACAAACTTAACGTCTTGGATTGGATTCCCTCCGTTCCGGCTTTCCTCATCCAAAGGCTATATTCTTCACTGCGATTCCACGCCATGTTAATGACATTGACTTGTTGGTACGTTGATTTTTCGCTCTACCAGAAAGGGAAAGCCTCGCTTAACCCCGGTTAATCACGTTCGGACGCGTTTCGCATTTGAAAATTAGATGATGACGTGGTCAATCTCTGTTGGGTCGTGGCGTTAATGCAGATACGAGTGGCTGTGTGCAGGCGGCGCCTAAGGTCTTCGAGGTCCAACTCCATCGCGAAAGCGAAAGGTAGAAAGGAAGATTCTCATGCCAAAACAACGCGAGCTCGATTGTAATTAGGCTTTCACCCTCTAGGTTACCTTAACTGAACCCAATACCATCCTTCTCGTTCGATCCATGCTGTGTGAGTGTATTTCTCCTTGAACGAGTTGCCAATTTTGGAGTTCCAGGTCGCTTCTTCTGTTTATTATGATATTTAGATTTGCATCGGTTCTTATTGTTGCAAATTAATGTATTTATATTTATTGATTTATGTTTTTTAAGAATATTTTGAATAATGACTCAATCCTTGTCGCTGGACCTTGCAAATCAAACAATGTTGTGATTTTCAATCCGAGCGTTGTTTTACGTTTGCCTTTGATGTGCCTGTTCTGTTTTTTGCGCTGCAAATGGATTGAAATATTAATAGTAATATATGAACGAATTTGCAATTTCTTTAGTTTTGGGTTTGGTGTCTGAATTTGCAAAGCGATGTGTCCAATTCGTATGTCTCATTTCCTCTGCAAGTGCGAGTGGTAATTTCATTATTAGGGATAAGACAGTGATGATAGTTGTCTGCTTTGCTGAGCCTGAAGAGTACTGCATTTCAAACATTAGTTTGACATTGAAATGATTGATTTGTCATTCCAAATACTGTGCTACAAGTAAATACTTCATTCCTTAAGAAAGTAAAGATATAGGAGTAATATTGAATCAGCAAAAGGTTTGGGTTGCGGTAATGAATTCAAGCTTCACTTGATGGTTTAGATGCATCCATGTGCACATATTTAGGATAAATAATCCAAACCAGCCAATTTAAGATTGTACTGATTGATGTTGATAAAATGGAAATCATATAAGTTGTTTTGTTCTTGGATGGTCATTTATTGCATATTTTTAACTCCTAGGGGTTTCCAAACTCTTGCTAACCTTCACATTAATGACTGCTCTTGTTGGTGTTGATTCATCCAAGTGTGAACTGTAGTCCAATCTGATCATTTTCCTTTGATGTTACCTTTTTTCTTCCTCAGAGATCAGTGCATTTCATTATCTTGGCTTCATTTTGCTCCTAGAATGATGGGGTGGGGAAATATTTATAAAAGACGCGTGAAAGTTTTCTCGGTTGCTTTTTTAATATACCTGGATTATAAGGTAAAATTTCTTGATTCTTCTATTTTTGAATTACTGCTTGGAGAATCTTATATACTTGTATTCTACCTTTACTGAAGGCTGTTCAGCAAAGAGAGAAATGGACTAACAAATCAAAAAGAGCTGCTTTATGGGAAAAGGCTCATGAGCGCAATGCTAAGCGTGTTCTCAGTTTGATAATTGAGTTGGAAGGCTTATGGGTGAAACTTGGGCAGTACTTATCCACGCGTGCTGATGTGCTTCCTCAAGCGTATATAACCCTTCTCAAGCAATTACAAGACTCTCTTCCTCCTCGTCCTTTAAAAGAGGTTATACTCTATGTTTTGACATTTTGAGATCAATTTCTTACCCAATGTTATCACTTTGACTATGAACAAAACGGACAGGGTTTAGTGGTTTAGATGGTCTCCTGCACTTCTATCTGCTCAATTGATGTAGTTGGCAATACTCTCAGTTCTCCTTTCATGCACTTCTATTATTGTTGAATCGCTTAACTTTGAGGTTACTATTATCATATGATCCCACCATGTAGTTTATGCGTCCTCAGAATTACAAAGCTTGTTATGGTGATGACCAAGTAATATCTGGTCTGACACCCAAGATATGGAAGCTGTCCTGCTTATTTGGATTTTAGTCACCATGTGCAGTGTGAAGACTGGATGTTCTTATCATGTTTGTGGAGTACATATATTGCATCATGAGTGGATATATAAACAGGTTTCCAAGTGCTTATACTTGTATATAATAACCTTGAGCATGAATTATACTTGTTATGGATTAACTTGTATCTGGAAAATTATTAGCTCGATAAAAATTGGGTGGGGATGGCTTTGAGCAGTCATTAGAATATGCTCAACTCAATGAGGTCGTATTTTTAAACTAGATGGATTCAGTGACATTCCTCCATTCTGTTTGACGAAGGGTGATGTCTTGTAAAATATCTAAAAAATTCATTACTGTATTGTTGGTAAAACTTGTTTTAGAAAGTTTGATTCACATGAGCATTTTGAATGCATAAAGAATATTAACCCTTGTTGGTTTGGAGAAGGATAAAGATCTAAGATTGCATGCTAAGATTAGATGGCTAGAATTCCATAAAAAGCCAGTGCAAGAGATAACGTGGTGCATCAGATGATCTCTGAAGGCTTCAGTACTGAGCGCTAATTATTCCTTCTAAGATGAGGATAAAGCAGCTGGGGAGTTTGGTACATAAAAAATAATGAAATTGAAACTTGTTTGTGTGCGTAAATTTCAATTGATTCTATACATATTTAATTCTGCAAGGAAAAACTTAAGATGATTGTTTTTGTCTGTGTTCCTACCAGTCCTGCCCTATGTAACTATTGACTGAGTGCTCATTTTTTTTGTACAGGTTTGTCAGACTATACAAAAAGAGTTTGGCAAGACCATGGATGTTCTCTTTGCAGATTTTGTGGAAGAACCTTTGGCAACAGCATCAGTAAGGACCATAGACATGTTACTTTATTCTCCTGAGGCAAATTAAAAGTATTTCTTTGGAAAATCTTGTTGATGAATGAGGACATCTTTTATTCTATGCAGATTGCACAAGTACATCGAGCAACATTAATCGATGGGAGGGAGGTGGTGGTTAAAGTTCAGCATGATGGCATTAAAGCAATCATATTGGAGGTTTTGCTTTCTTATTCTTTTAAGATATTGAGATGAGAAGTAAGAGTTGCAGTCATTATGGTTGTTGGACATGCTGTTGTTTTACAGGACTTAAAGAATGCAAAGTCGGTTGTTGACTGGATAGCTTGGGCAGAACCCCAGTATGACTTTAACCCAATGATAGATGAATGGTGCAAAGAAGCTCCAAAAGAGCTTGATTTTAATCATGAAGCTGGTATGCACTATTTTAACTTGATTTATTCTATATCTGATGTATGTAATTGGAAAAAAAAAGGATTTTCTTTTTTATTTCAATTATTCCCACTGTAAATCCACTGAAAGAAAGAGTAATATCACAATCATGAAACTGGGGCAAATTTTCAAGAAGAAAATTGATATGACAGGAAAGAAAATCCTTTTTTGGCTTTCTATATTTCCACATCTACTTAGATTTCCATTGAATTAATAGATTAATGGTGCTTGATAGTAGTTGGTGATGCATCGCTGGTAATGCTGATGGTACTGGTGATGGTAGCTTTGATGTTGTGTCAATGACAGTAGGGAAAACTGGCGCTTGGCTTTAAAATGGTTTTGGAAATTGCACAGTAGGTGGAGTTGGTGCATGAACCAGAAATAAATTGTTGGTGATAATGCTGACAGTAGTAGAAAAGCAGTGGACAAATAAAAATTTTATGGCATGAGCATAATGGTAATGATAATAGTGGTAAAAGTGATGTCGTGGCATCAGTTTAGCAAGGCTGTTTCAATGGCTGTTTGCTAGTATGGTGATCTAATAGTATTGTTTGACCATGAGGTGGTCAGGCATCCAAACAGCTGGGATTATGAGAATGGAACACCTCCTTAAGTTTTATACTAATAGTTTGGGCCTTTAAACCCTGGCCAAAAGATAAAGATGGATGAGTCCGGTTCCCAAATTGTCTGCACCCTTCTTCAGTCGAGTCATGCAAATATTTTCTCAGACACATTGCAATTTTGTACACTGTTTTTTTTTTTTTCTGTCATTTTTCTTATTGACACTTGCCTTTGTAGAGAATACTAGAACTGTGTCTAGAAATCTTGGCTGCAAAAAGTTACATGATGAGAACAAATCTTCCAACGAAGTCAATGTTTTGATTCCAGAAGTTATTCAGGTATATTCTGAGCTAATTTCTATACATGAATATTTGTTGCTATAGTGCATGTGATCCAAGATAGAATAAACTGTTAGGATTTGACCATCTGAGCATCCTTATGTTGTTCTTGTCATACCGTGATTCATAATGTAAATTAAAGAGGGTAGTAGTGGGGCGTGAAAGATCTAGCACAGGAAATAATTTTGATGTTTATGACCATGTGGTACTAACATGTAAGGCCAATACGAATGATGATTCCTGTCAGCTAATGACTCCTTAAAATGTTGTCTCTTTGAAAGGCACAGAAACGCCTTCTAATTTTGAAAACTTGAAAAGCAAAACTTAATGTACAACTAGAAGTTCTAGATTAACTTCATATAAAACAAAAATGAACTAATGTAAGATAAAGAAAAACTCTAAATTATAATAATTGAAATATAAATCTTAAGGCTTTTAAATCTGTGGTCTTATGATTTTGTTTTAGACAAAATTTGGAATTAGCACCCTTGCTTATCTTTGATGCAGTACCTTTCTCTTTATAGCAGAATACTGTCCAACAAATCTTATGCCTATCAATGGAGGGGTCTTTAACTTTAACTTCTAGGTTTTATCATAATGTCTGGTTCTTCCTGGAATGTGGTAGAGAAATGTTGTGTGCAACAACTCTAGCACATATTTTTCCTGATTAAATCTCCATGTGAGGAAGAGGTGTTCCTCCTTTTAGTCACTTTACATCTGATTAGCATGCCAAGCTTATTCCTTCATTGTGTTGCCTCTTCAGTTTAGACGGCTCAGTCTGATTCCTGTTGGTTTTAATGACAGTCAACCGAAAGTGTACTCATTTTAGAATACATGGATGGAATTCGTCTGAATGACTCTGCATCATTGGAAGCTTTTGGTGTTGACAAACAAAAGATTGTTGAAGAAATCACTCGTGCATATGCCCACCAAATATATGTTGATGGATTTTTCAATGGTGATCCTCATCCTGGTATCCCTTTCTCTCTCTTGCCAACTCTACCTTGACAGATTTTTAATGGCTATCCTCATCCTAGTACTATAATCTGTGATCTATATATCTGTCTATCTATCCATCCATCTATCTTCTGCAGTTTAATGTCTCTGTACAAATAAGTTTTGCCATGTGTACTTCTGATCTCTGCTACTTTCTCATGAGTTTTGCCCTTTATAAGTTTTCTTCTTAACTTACTTGCAGGAAATTTCCTTGTAAGCAAGGAAGCCCCTCATCACCCAATTTTACTGGATTTTGGGCTTACAAAGAAACTATCGAGCTCTGTGAAGCAAGCACTAGCAAAAATGTTTTTGGCATCGGCCGAGGTTTGTGTTTTATGTGTGTATTTTTTTCCATTACATCTTGCATTTCATGTGAAATGCAGACCATTACAGAGATAAGAGATGGCTCAATATTTTGACCTTGAGCTGTAAATACCTAAGGCTCCATTGCTTTACCATTCAACAGTCATTTAATTCCTGTTTTACCAATATTTATTTAAACTGTGTCTTGTCCTTGTTTCATGTCTTACTACTTTAAATGTGTGGATTATTTTCTCAACCTATTTATATCAATCATTGCTTTACTGGTCTTCATGGCTCTATAACTTCAAATATTATCTAGTTCTTCAAAGTCTTGACCTTCATTTAGGCTTACACACACACACACACACACTCGCACACATATGTGTGTGTGTGTGTGTGAGAGAGAGAGAGAGATGGTTCACCTTTCTGTTTTGACATTTTTAATAATCTAGTTCAATGATACAAACATTTTTATTGCTGTCATCTTCTTCACTCCAAGAGTACTTGAAACAACTGTAATTGGATTATGAAATAATACTTCACTTTTTGTGGCAGGGTGACCATGTGGCTCTTTTGTCTGCCTTTTCAGAAATGGGCCTCAAGCTGCGCCTTGATGCACCTGAGCAGGCTATGGAGATAACAACTGTATTCTTCCGTAGTTCAACACCAGCAAATGAAGCTCATGTAAGTGACACTGCTAGCCTTGCAAGTTGTCATTCAAATTCTGGTAGTCCATCTAATGCTATTTGTTTTTCTATGAAGCAAACCATGAAATCTTTGGCTGAGCAAAGAGACAGAAACATGAAGATTATACAGGAAAAGATGCAACTCAACCGAAAAGAAGTTAAACGCTTCAACCCAGTAAGTTTATTTCTGCTTTTCTTTTGGTACATAACCCTGTAAGTCCATTTCATCTACTACTGGTATTCCTTTGGTATTTTCATTAACTATAGCCCATCATTAACTAAGTAATACAATTTGTTTTCAGGTTGATGCATTTCCAGGTGATATTGTAATCTTCACACGGGTTCTAAATCTTCTGAGAGGTCTGTAATAAAAATTCCTATCTTCACCTTGTTGTATTAAATGATTGTGCCTTTTGCTAGTTGATCATTGTGTTACATGGATTCAGGGCTCTCATCCACTATGAATGTCCACATAGTATATCTAGATATCATGAGACCATTTGCTGAATCTGTTCTACTAGGGTGAGTCTATTTTAAATTTTACATGGTCAAGTTTATGAATTTTTTCTCCTGCTTCATCTTTGATTGAGTTGTGATTTCATTTTCAGAAACATTAATAAGGGACCAGCAGCAAATGCACAGTGGATCTATAACACGCCCGTCCATTCCAATGTAGAGGCCAAGCTGAGGCAGCTGTTAGTTGAGTTGGGAAATAATGATAAAATACTTGGGATTCAGGTTTGCACCGCCAGCATTCTGCTATTAGACTATTGTCTGATGATCTGACAAGCGTCTATTTCTTTTTCAATATTTTGTTTACCTGCCTAATTCCACTACTATAGTGGTTAATTTCCAAGCTTGATTGCGGGCTATTATTTTATGGCCAGCCAAGTTGTTTGGAAACATTACACTGAGCTTAGTAAATGCGTCAGAGGAATTTGCTTCTCTTTTTCCTTCTTTTTCTCCTCTTTCTCTTGTGTAGTGATTTTTCAAACTAAGTCCTTTTTCTTGAAATGGCTTCAGTAATTGAGTCTGCTTCAAATAAGCATTTGAAAACTCCCTAGTTTTTCTATTTCATGGAGTTTAGCAGGATTTCTTACACCTTATATCTTTTGAGAACAATTGAACATGCTGTATATGGTTCCAAAGTATGTTACTATCACTAATTTATAAGTTTAACCCTCCTGTACCGCCCATATTTTGTCTGGAAAAGCATTAGGGGCTAAGTTGCTTTCTTACTTAAATAAATCGTTAACGATCTTCATGCCAAAGTAGAAATTAGATTTCCTTCTTTGGTGGACTTTTAAGATTTGGTGAAACAAAGAAATAAGGGCATTTCAATATACAGTTAAGAGGTAAATTGCTTTTGATATTTTAACATTTTTGTTAAAAAAGCTAGTTTAAAATCATATGTGATAGGCTTTATTTTCTTTTTCTATTTTTTGATTATTGTGACTTTAAAAGCATATTGACTGCTGTTGATCTTGTAATATTTTCAATTTTTATCTCAAGGTTTGTGCATACAAAGATGGGGAGGTTATTATTGACTCTGCTGCAGGAGTGCTTGGAAGATATGATCCTCGCCCTGTTCAGCCTGATACTCTTTTTTCTGTCTTTTCTGCAACGAAGGGTATTACTGCAGGAATGTTACACTGGCTGGTAGACAATGGGTATGTAATAATGTCATAACTGCAAAGTTCAATGTTGAAAAATCTTTAGATTCACTTTGTGGAATAACTGGAAAAAGTTAGTGTGTCCTGTAAAATTTGTCTTATATATGTAGGAATACTGTTCTTGTTCTTGTCAGGAATGCATTGACTAAGACCATGCTCGCACTGCTGAATTTCAATATGTTAGTCTGTCAAATATAATGAATTTGGAGAATTAAGGAATGATGGTCTGTCAAACGATTATGAGTGGTTCAAAATCTTGCAAATAATATGCAATTTTTTCATAGAAGAGGTGTTTGAAAAATCAAAGGTATGAAATTTTTTAATAGTCTCTTACAAATAGTGCACTGTCTTGCAGAAAAGTCAAACTTGAGGAAAATATTGCAAATATTTGGCCAGAATTTAGAGGAAATGGAAAAGATCACATAAAGGTTACTATTCTGTACACAAATGCCTATTAAACTGGATAACCACCATTTAGAATTCGTAAGTATTTCATTATCATTGTTCTTTAAACGTTTTTCCTTCAGGTACATCATGTGCTTAACCATACATCTGGTTTGCACAATGCCTTGGCTGAACTTAGAGCAGAAAATCCTTTGCTAATGTCTGAGTGGGATGAATGCCTGAATCTGATTGCAGCATCAGTACCTGAGACTGAACCTGGGAAGCAGCAGTTGTATCATTATCTATCTTATGGTTGGCTATGTGGTGGAATAATCGAGGTATTTTTTCATGCTCTCTCATTGGATTGTGTCACTGTAACTCAATGTTTTTGAGGTGAAATTAAAAAGAAAAAAAAGGGTGCTAATAGTAAAGTTTGAGAAAGAATCACACTTTCAAGTGTATATTTTCCTTCTCTTTCCCTTACACTTAATTAAGGCTTAAGATTCTAAAATCTTACTATATTCCTAAAAAGATTATTTCATTTAATTCCATTATGATACTTATTTGGAAAAAGAAAAGTGAAGAGGGTTTAAATACTTCAATGTTGTTTTTGAGGACTATTGGAGTTGATTTTTGCTAGGGTCCACTTTCCTTACACAATCATAGTGCTGTTTGAATTCAAAGGAAACTATATGGAAATCCTTCCCTTGGAGGAAAGCTCAAACATGTTAATAAATTTTTTGCCTGCAAACTTTCACCTAGCTCAGTGAAGTTAAAGTTCTTTTGGAAATTCTAATTATTTTGGGTAATTGTTTTCCCAGAACTCTCTTGCTTGAATTTATTTTGAGAATATTGTTTTTCGAATCTGTCTCTCCCTCTCTCTCTCTCTCTCTCTCTCTCTTTCTCTCTCTCCAGGCAGTTAAACAATGTCTTTTCCAATTGTTATAATATAGT